GGGGGCTCCCTGCGCTCCTGGGCCCTCGGCCGCGCCCCTGACGCCCCTCCCGACAGGCTCTTCCCCTGGGGCAACAAGCTGCGGCCCGGTGGCCGGCACTACGCCAACATCTGGCAGGGCGAGTTTCCCAGGACCAACACCGGCGAGGACGGCTTCCGCGGCACGGCGCCCGTGAGTGCCAGCTGGCGGGGCGGGCGGGCCCTCCGTGGCCGAGCCAGCGGCTGAGGCTGAACCGGGCTTTGTAGAGAGTTGAAAGGCCAAGGTCACTTTCCTTTCTGTCAGAGTTTGTCTTTATGTTTGAGAATTTCCATTAAAACACGCTGGGAACCCTTGAGGCCAGGAAAGAGCCGACTGTCCTGCGCTTGCCCTCTGCTTCCAGCTGTTTCTCCGGCCTCCCCCGCCCCCCTGTCATCCTGCGGCCCCGTCTGGGACAGCGGCCCGTGGTGACTGCCCCATCCGCCTCGACAGGCCATGCAGTTCTTGTAGAGCCGGTCAGGTGGCCGTGTCTCGGCCCGAGGCCGCACACCCCCTCGCCCAGGCCCGCCCTGTACGGACGTGTCCCCTCAGGGCTTTGAGGCTCCCCACGGGGAGCAGGACGGTTAGGGGCCGGGCTGGCCCGGGGGCTCGGTGCCGCTGTGCTGCCCTGCCTGGCTTTGAAGCCTGAAGATGAGCTGGCCCTGCCCCTCCCCAGCAGGCCCAGCTTCCATCGATGACCAGTAGTGGCCCCTGGGAACACCGCCCTGGATTCCGCACTGGGGCCCCTCCTTGGGGTCTCTGGGCGGCCCTCGAGAGCGAAGCCCGGGCAGCCGTCTCCGGGCCCCGGCCACGGGTCTGAGAAGCAGAGGGGGAGCAGCAGCCCCGGGGCCGAGGCGGGCGCCCTGTGCAGGCGCCGAGCACGGCAGGCGGGTGACTGCGCTCCCCGTTTCTCGTGGCAGGTGGACGCCTTCCCCCCCAACGGGTACGGCTTGCACAACATCGTGGGCAACGCCTGGGAGTGGACTTCCGACTGGTGGACCGTGCACCGCTCTGTGGAAGAGACGCTGAACCCCGTGAGTGCCCTCAGGGCGGAGCCCTCCCCGGCGTGGGCGGGGCTTCCTGGGGTCCAGCTGGACTCCGGGCGGAACCCCCGGGGCGTCAGGTGCGCCGGCTGTTCCGCCCCCGTGGCCTGGGTGGGTCTGTGGGCCCGCGTGTGCCCTGGCGGGGGTCGTGGCTTCTCCCGGGACTGAGAGTGGAGGTCAGCCTGCTCGGGTGCTGCCTGGGCTGTGGCAGAGCGCCCGCAGGTCAGCGAAGCCTCCTTGAGAACCCGGGGACTAGGAGCCCTCGGGGCTTTACGTGCTGGCGTCCCCCGGGTTCAGTTGGTAGAAGTTCCCCTTGGGGGGCATGATTGTCGGAAAGAAGCGCAAGGCTGTGTCTGGGCGAGAGTTGTGCCTGGAAATCGGGTGACCGAGTGATTCTCTTCAGAACTGGGCGTGGGGGTCTGTGTGTCTCCGACCTGGGTCTAAGACAGCGTGTTTGCCTGCCGGCCTGTCGCGAGGGCGGCCAGTGGACACTCGGCCCCTGAGGCCAGGCCCCCAGCGAGTGTTCAGAAATGGAGGCGCTACGTTGCGTGTGCAGGACTTCCTCGAAAAGAGCATCTCTGAATATTTTTTGTTGTGAGAACAGATTGGGAGAAAACTGCGATGTAGAAATCCTCTCTCCAACGATCTCGACGTTCTAAGTCAGATCCGGAATGTATATTTATACCAGACCCGCTAGACTGGGAACTTAATGTGCGCATCTCTCGGTGCAAACAATGAGATAGAAGTAAAAGAAAAGAAGAAAACTGTCCTGTTCACAGTTGCCTCAAAGGGAATTCCAGACCTAGGATTAGATTTAACAGAGCAAGTGAAAGCCCTGTATGGTTAAAAAGTAGAAACGCTGTTAACAGTTACAGCAGGAGAGACAGACAGTTGGAAATATATTCCATGTTCAGGGATGAAGGGAATTAATACGGCCAGGAGGATTGGGCAGGCCAAAAGCAATGTACAGATTTGATACCGTCACTCTTAAAATTCCAGTTTTTTAATGAAACACGTAACAACAAAGCACTAAAACTTACGTGGAATCACAAAAAACCCTAAGTACCTGCACCCAGATTACTAAAGGTGGAGGCGTCGTATTACCCAACTTCAAACTATATGAGAAAATAACCGTGATTGAAGCGGTATGATGTCAGAATGAAAGTAAGACACATGGGTCAGCATCGAGAACCCAGAAATAAATCCTTATATTGTCACTTAGTTTGCGCCGGAGGAACCACGATGGTTCAGTGGAGAGAGGGAGTCTTTTTTTTTTTTTTT